ACGCACGCACGCACGCACGCACACGCACGCACGCACACACACACACACCACACACACACACACACCACACACGCGCACACGCGCACGCGCACGCACGACGCACGGACGCACGCACGCACGCACCCACGCACGCGCACACACGCACACGCGCACACGCACACACGTACGCACGCACGCACGCACGCACGCACGCACGCACACACAGGCACACACACACACACACACACACACGCACACACACACACACGCGCACACGCGCGCACGCACGCACGCACGCACGCACGCACGCACGCACGCACGCACGCACACACACACACAGACACACACACACACACACACATATACACACACGCACACACACGCACTCACGCGCACGCACGCACGCACGCACGCACGCACGCACGCGCACACACGCACACGCGCGCACGCACACACAGGCACGCGCGCACACGCGCACACGCGCACGCACGCACTCACGCACGCACGCACGCACGCGCACACTGCTCGGAGAGGGCCAGCTGCACCGAGCACGTGCGGCGGCTGGACTGGAACGAGAACGTGTCCCAGAAGGCCCAGGGGCTCAGCTCTGGCGCGGCGGGGGGGCGGCTCGGGGCCTGGCACGAAATCGGGCCTGTCCCTCGACAGAAGGAATATTCGAAAATAGGCAAGAAATAGTCTGGGGACGGTTTTTCGATTACTTTTTTGAGTATTCTGAATCTTTGTTTCGATTCTTGCTTGTTTTTCGTCCAAAAGCCGCCTGTAGGAGGACATGCCCGACCTAAGGTTGCTGGGAGAGCGTGGGCGAGGGCGGAACATGGCTCACGTCGGCTCCTCTGGCCCGATTCGGTTCTAGTAGTTTGATTCAGCTTCCCTTTACGATTCCGGCCAGGATTCCGATTCGGGGTTCGGCTTCTCGGCTTCTCCATAATCGAGGCCTCACTAGCCTGTTGATGTCCGCCGCTCCGACATCTCCAAACGCTGCTGCCGATTTTCCCACCGATCCGAGTCATGTCCATCGCCGGTCCGACGTATCGATTCAATTCTGAGCTCACCTTGGAGGGAGAGGATGGAGGGAGTGGGAGGGAGAGAGGGGGAGGAGGGAGGAGGAGGAGGAGGAGGAGGAGGAGGGGGAGGAGGAGGGAGAAGGATGAGAGGGAGGAGGGAGGAGGAGGGGGGGAGGAGGAGGAGGAGGAGGAGGAGGAGAAAGAGGAGGAGGAGGAGGAGGAGGAGAAAGAGCAGGAGGACGAGTAGGAGGAGGAGATCAATCCGCGATCGAGGAGGCCGTCGGCCTTCCTGGGCCTCGGGGAGGCCCTCTCGCCGCCACGGCCGGGCGGTCCCCGCGGAAGCGCTGGTCGGGGCGCTCTGCTCTCGGAGTGGTGCGGGGGCCGACCTCCGATCCCCCTGGGCCCCCACCCCGCTCTTGGAGTGGGGGGGGGGGCAGCAAAAGCATACGGAGTAGAGGGCAATGTGGGCTCCCGATGAGAAAATTGGGCCCCCCGCCCCCCCCTCCCCTCCCCCAAGTTCCACCAATGGGGAGGGACGCGATCAGGATTGTCGGCCAGAAACCTTTTTTCTAACCGCGTCGCTCCGGCACCCCTCCTCATTCCCCCTGCCCCTCCATCGCTCCCATTAGCAGGTGGAGGAAGTCAGCGGAGGAAAAGGTACCCCAAATCCCTTTGAATCGTCCCCCAGCTCCGGTTTTTCAAGGCGCCTTTTTTGTAATTGGGGGTGTCCGGTTTAGTAGACGCTTGTTTTGGATTGGAGCTTAGGGGGTCCGGTTTAGCAAGGCGCCCCGTCGATTAATCAGGGATTTGGAGTACCCATACCTCGACCTTTCCCTCGTTTTGTCTTTTTTCAGCCTCCCGGGAGGCCCTCGTCGTCACTGCTGGCTACGCCTCGAACTTCTGGCCAGAACGCATCCCAGGAGACGTCCAGGGAGCAGCGGGTGTCGGTACTTTTTGGTCTCCCCAGACGGGGGAGGGTGAGAAGGGGGGGAGGAGGCGGAGCACACAGAGGAGGGGGAGAAGGATTGGGGGGGTGAAGGGGAGGGAGTGGGAGGGGGCAGGCAAAGAGGACGGGGGAGGAAGGACGAGAGGGATACAGGTAGGGAGGGGGAAGGGGAACAGCAGCACGATGCAGCAGGAGGAGGAGGAGGAGGAGGAGGAGGAGGAGGAGGACGAGGAGGAGGGGGTGGAAGGCGGAAGAGTGTGAGGACGGCCAGGATCAGATGGGGGAGGCTGACGAGGTCGAGGATTCGGACGGGGACGGAGGAAGCAGGGCGGCGGAGACGGGAGGCGGAGATGGAAGAAGGTGGACGAGGAGGACAAGGAGGACTAGGGGGGACAGGGAGGTATTCGACAAGAAGGAGGGTGGGCAGGAGGAGGAGGGTTGACAGGGAAAGGCCTGATTAGAGCGAGACGGCGTCTTAGTGAGACAGGGGCAGCTCGCCGGGCGGGGGGGCGTTTGCGCACAGTGCGCGGACGAGGAAGCAAAAGGATGGAGGAGGGATGGATGACGCGGAATCAAGGGATGAGCGCTCAACGACGGGGAAGGGAAACAGAGGGGAATGGAGGAGGAGGAGGCGGAGGAGGAGGAGGAGCAGGATGAGCCGCGTCATCGGTAGCATGGAGGAAGAGGAGTGGGTTGGGGAGGAAAAGAAGGATGCGGACACACACACACACAAGTGAGACGGAGAGGAGGGAGGTGAGGGAGGAGGAGGAGGTGGAGGAGGAGGAGGAGGAGGAGGAGGAGGGCATAGGACTGTGTCAGTCTGCTGTCATGTCTGCATGCTGCGGTGCTTGTCTTTGTTCAACGTTGCCGCACTGTCGGCGCGCTGTCCCTGGCACGTCGTTCGCACGTTTACTCCACATCCTTCAACAAGCACCCCTCCAGTGCCAACCTGTCCGACGCCCATTGCCCGCCCCCCTACGCGCCCCAAACCCGACCCCTCTCGCTCCCCAACCTCCCCACGCCCCCCGAAGGACAGCGGTTTCCCCCCCCCCCCCACGCGATCCACCCCCCCGCGCTTATTGAGAGGAGGCAAGACGGGACCCGCCCACGATGGGTCGAATTGCTGCCATCTCTCACTCGGCGGAGGGCGTCGGACGCAGAACGAGGGGTAGCTCCGCCAGTGGAAGGTCGGCGAAGGCTGGCGTAAGCAGAACATGCGCCTACAGTGAGCACATCTCCTCAAGTCTGCACGAACGAAATGGGCACGGAAAGAATGGGTACAATGCCCAACAGCGCATCCTGTTCATTTGAGCAGAACTCGCTGTCCAGGCCGCCGCGGCCTGAGTCCATTCGAGACAGATGGCCGCCTGCCCAACAGCGGCCGCTGTTGGTTTGGGACAACATTAGTTGTTGTTGGGCATTGTACCCATTATTTCCGTACCCATGTCGGGCATCCAAATCAAGTCTGGAATCAGGGATTCCACAACCAGACAACCATACCAGAGGAGTGCCCGGCCCAAGGTTTAGGTTCGGCAGTTATACTACAGGAGGTCCATCGAGACAACTTGCCGAATTCTTCTGAAAATCTTCAGCAGGAAACTAATCCTCCCGAACAACTTCGAAACATCTCTAAGCCAAAACCTGCGAATATGTCAGACTCTACAAAAACTTCAAAACATCTCTAACCCACAACCTGCGAAAATATCAAACTCGAAAACAAATGACAAACAACTCAAAACCAACACATGCGAAAATCTCACAATTTAAGCCGGAGTTTGCATTCACAGTTGTTATTAGGTTGATCCAGAGTTTTTTGAGTTTGCCAGGCGGTCAGAAATCAGTTTATATGTTTTTAGAGTTTCCCAGCGTTCTTTGTCAACAAGAGTTGTGTAATAGCTGTTTTAGAGTTTTTAGGCGTTCAGAGTTGTTTTACAGTCGTTTAAGTTTTTTTGAGCTTTTAGGCGTTTCGAGATTTGTTTAGAGTTTAGTTTAATAGTTGCTTTAGAGTTAAGGTTTTTAGTTTGTTTTGGGTTTGAGATTTTCCCAGGTTTCGGCTTCACGTTTTTTGATGTTTTTTTAGGGTTTGAGTTTTTCGCAGGTTTAAGTTCAGAGTTGTTGTTGAAGTGTGTTTAGAGTCTGAGTCTGAGATTTCCGCAGGTTTTGACCTAGATATTTCTGCAGTGTTTTGTTTGATTCTGAGATGTTCCCAGGTTTTGGCTGAGAGATTGTTGGAAGTGTTTTTGGAGGTTGAGGTTTTCGCAGGTTTGGGTTGAGAGATTTGTTGAAGTTTGTTTTGAGTTTGAGTTTGTTTGCCCTGTAGTCGCTAATGCCGAACCTAACCCAAGATGCCACCTTTGGCGGCACCCCAACATACCAATACTATGTGCGTGTTGCCCCCTTCAGGGGCGACGCGCGCACCGAGAAATCTTAGAGTAGATGCGTCTGGGCGGACGCTTTCTGGCCACACCGCGCGGGAAACGCTATTCCACAATGTGGGTACACACGATGTATGTATATGTATGCATATGTATATGTATGTATGTATGTATGTATGTATGGATGGATGGATGGATGGATGGATGGATGGATGGATGGATGTATGTATTCGGGTTGGACGCGCGCCTCCACGGAGGACGTCTAGTACTGTGTCTCTGTGCGTGCCGCACCAGGATTTCCAAGGAGGCCCCCACGGCCTCCAGAGCACCCCCCCCTCTCACGAGTCCTGGACGGGGCCTCAAGAGGGGGCCCCGAAGGCCGCGGCACTCTCGGGGCGCAACCCTGGGCCAGGGACATCCCCTGTGGAAGTCGATCAAAGGAGAGGAAGCGTGCTGCCAAATAGCTTCCATATGTTTAAAGGATGCTTCAAACCTGTCTTCAACATGTACAAGAACAGTTTTTTTAAACATTGTTATAACCTTTTAAACACATCTGTACCCCATGATAGGATTGTTAGAGGGTCCATTGCCATGGCATCCACAGGACATCCCTCTGCAGAGAAGCACACGCCCGCAGAGGTCTGGAACGCGAAGATCACGCGGGCCGTCGGCTGCATGCGGCACACGGAGCTCCTGGCGAGGGAGGCGCGCGCTGCGCTCGCGGCGCGGCGCTGCGCCCTCTGCGCCATGCATCGAAGCAGAAGAACGCTAGAAACATAAACAGTTGGCGCTCCGCGCGGATTTCCTGCATCCGTGCTGGGAGCCCCCGGCGGCGCCTCTCGCGCCGCCCACGGCGCGCTCCGCGCGCCAGGGAGAGGGGGGTCCAGCACAGATCCGAGAAATCCGCGCGGAGCGCCTAAACTTGTCATGCTTATGCCGTTGCTTGTTCCTCTGATGCCGCCGTGGTTGGCCTGGGCCGTGGTTGGCCTGGGCCGTCTCGGCGCGGCGGCCTCGGCGGCGCGTCGAGAGGAGGAAGGCTGGCTTTGCGTTCGTCTCCGGGCATGGGTGCCCCTACCCCCCCCGCCCACCCTGGGACGGGAGACGCCGACGACCACGACGAGGACGACCACCACGACGACGACCACATCGACGACGATGACGACGTCGTCGGCGACAGCGACGACGAAGACGACGAGGATGAGGACGACGGCGGCGGCGACGACGACGACGACGAAGAGGACGACGACGACGACGACGGCGGCGACGAGGACGAGGACGAGGACGACGACGAGGACGACGGCGACGACGACGGGTCGGCGCACCGCGCCGGCCTCGGGGCACGCTGTGGCTGCTCTCGCTGCGCGGGGGGGGCGACCCGGGAAGGTGGGCGGGGGGGGAGGCGAGCCCCCCAGCGCTACTTCAGAAGGTCGGACTTCGACGTTCCAACCTAGCATGAAGTCGGGCCTGTCCCTCTAAAGGAGGAATGTTCAAAAATCGTCCAAAACTAGTCGGGTGACTATTTTTTACGATTTGTTGAGGACTTTGGTAGTACTTTTTGAGTATGTTTAATTGTTCGCCCAAAATCCCCCTGCAGGGGGACAGGCCCGACTTAAACCTAGCATAGGTTTTCTTCTCTTTCCTTTCTGGAGGAGTGGGAGGAGGAGGAGGAGGAGGAGGAGGAGGAGGAGGAGGAGGAGGAGGAGGAGGAGGGGAAGCTGGCCAGGGCGAGGCCGAGGCCGAGGTGCGAGGGCAAGGGCGGAGCGGGATCTGCCGGCCCTGAGATGTATGATGCTCCCGCCTGCTTCAGCCTTTACTGCCAGAGAGAATCTCGAGCACCAGGAAGACACCGAGCCTTGAGGGTCTTCACGCGTCCGGCCCTGGGAGGCGCGACTCGTTCGGCACTGTTTCGATACGTGTCTGGGTGCGCGAAGTTGTTTTTCGGCATGTGGTCCGCAAGTACGCTGGGAGCTACAGGAAGCACGCAGAGGAAACAGCGGCACGCAGAGGACAACCCCTGGCGGCGCCTCCGTTGCCGCCCCTGTCGCGCTCCGCGCGCCAGCGAGGGGGTCCAGCGCGGATCCAAGGAATCCCCGCGGAGCGCCAAAAGTTGATGTTTGTAGCGTTTTTTGTTCCACTAGAAGCGCGGGGTGCCGGTAACGATGCCCACCCATTGGTTTTCGCCTGCCACGGCTGAATTTGCTTCGTAATCTTGGTCGGATTTCGCCGCAGGAGAGGTGAGGGGGTACCAGTATCGGTATCTTGTTGTTCCCGCTGGAGCGTTCAATATAAAAGACCTCCGGCCATGTATTCAAACAGCGGAGGTCGTTGACCGTTGGACTGTTCGTTAGGTGGCAGGCATCATAGCCCATATAGTCATGGCAGGAGTTTGCGGCATGCCGTGCCCTCATCGCACTTGTTTGCGGCAATCCATGGCGCCGTGATAGCGCAGTTTCGAAAATAATGCAAACATAATCGGTAGAGCAATACTGGGGCCGTCTAGGAAGCGGCTCTGCGATTCTGCAGTGTTGCGAAGCCGTTAAATTGCATGGTTGCTACGTTGAGTTGTTTGGGTTTCTTGTTTCTTAGAGGCTGCCGTGGGGGCCCTTTGGCAACCGTGCCTGGGTTGCGGGTAGGAAGCTTATTGGATGTTCGCTGGGATCTCGTGGGAGGTCTCTGAGGGGCCTCTTGGAGGCAGTTTCAAGGCCTCTTGGACGCTGCTTGGGGGCCTCGTTTGTGCATCTTGGGGGCCTTCTGAGGCCTCTTGGGGGCCTCTTGGGGTCTCTCGGGCGCCTCTTGGGGCCTCCTGGGAGCCTCTCGGGGCGGAGGGCTCTGAGTCTCGGTAGGTGGTCTCTCTCTTGGTTCCTTTTTGGGGCCGTCTTGGGGCCCTCTTGGACCGTCGTCGGCGCCTCTTGGGCCTTCTTGGAGCGCTCTTAAGTCGTCTCGTGTCCATCTTGGAGGTCTCATGAGCCGTTTTGTGGTGGTCTTGGGGGCCTCTCGGGCGTCTTGGAGCGTTGGCACGTCGAATAGGCGAGAAATCACAAATCGTTCCAAGTCAAATGGGAAATCAATGATTTGTGCGTCTCGGGGCCCTCTTGGGAGGGCGCGTCGAGACCCTTGTTGGAGGAGGAGGAGGAGGAGGAGAAACAGAAGATGAAGGAGGCGCAGGAGGAGGAGAAGGAGGAGGAGGAGGACAAGGAGGAGGCTGAGGACGAGGACGAGGACGAGGTGGAGGAGGAGGAGGAGAAACACAAGGTGTAGGAAACGGACGAGGAGGAGGAGGAGGAGAAGGAGAAGGAACAGGAGGAGAAGGAACAGGAGGGGAAGGAGGAGGAGGAGAAGGAACAGGAGGAGGAGGAGGAGGAGGAGGGGGAGGAGGAGGAGGATAAGGAGGAGGACGAGGAGGACGAGGAGGACGAGGAGGACGAGGAGGAGGGCGGCCTCCCTCGCCTCGGCCGAGGCCGCCGGCTCCCCCCCCCGGCAGGCCGGCCAGACGAGGCCCGCCGCCCTGACCGGGCTGCACGTGCCGACCGTGGTTGCGCCGACGCAGTCGGAGGACCGCCTCGGGCGGGGCTCCTCTCGGCGGCGCGCACCGGGGGGCTAGGGGGGGAGGGGGGGAGGCTTCTCAGAGGCACCCCTGCTTCTGAGAAGGGCGCGGGCCTTGTCTGCAAGTGTAGGGCCGGCGCCTTCTAAGAAGCAGCCTCCTTCTACGAGGCCTTCCCCCCTCCCCCTGCCCCCCTCTGCGTGCCGCCAACCCTCTGAAGACGGGCGTGTCCCTCGTACGGGAGGGAGAGTCAGGATCAAACGTGCATTGGGGGGCGCGCATCAAGAGACCATCTGCTTTTTCTGAAGACGGGCATGTCCCTCTGCGGGAGGAGGAATCAGACACACAGTGGGCGCGCGCATCAAACATACAGTGGGGGCGCTCATCAAACATACAGTGGGCGCGCGAATCAGACATACAGTGGGGGGGTGCATGTCCCTCTACGGGAGGAAGAATCAAACATACAGCCAGGGCGCGCATCAAGAGACCATCTGCTTTTCGTCGGGTACCCCGGGTTTCTTCGCTCCTGGCGCTGCGCGGTGACTTCCCGCGGCTGTTGAAGGGGGCTGCTGCGTTCAGGGTGCTCCAGGTTTCCCCTCAGGTGCATCTCGCGCACGGGTTTCCAGGGTTGGGTTTCTTGCGATGGTTTCTTGCGGAGGGTTCTCAGGGTCGGGCATGTCCCTCTACGGGAGGACGTAGGGAATCGAACTCTATGCACCGACGGTTCTTCCGGCCCTGCATTCGGATTTGCATTGGAGAGCGGATACTGGTGTATACGGGACCCTGGTGTACACATTTTTCGTTGTTTCCCCGGGACATCGGGGAAAACAGTATGCACCACACCACCCCAGCGTCGTCCTCGACCCCCAAGAAATCCTGGGATTGAAAAACAGCCCGCCACTGGTCATGCATATGTCCCTGTTTTCGAGGAAGAACCAAACATGTTCTGACTATTCCTAATATTTCGTCCAATTTCCGCCTCGAGGAGGACATGCCCGACCTAAGGCTCCTCCCCTCCCTCCCCTCGGGGAAATAGCAGTGACACGACCATACGACACGTCGGAGGGCCGCGCGGAGGCCTCGCATCGGCGTCTACCCCCCGGCGGCGTCTGAAGCGCCGCCCTGGCGCGCTCCGCGCGCCAGGATTGGCGGGCTCCGGTGCCGAGCCGAGAAGTCCGCGCGGACCTCCGAGCTTTTTCGCTTACGTCAGCGGTCGTTCCCCTACCCTCCCGTCGCCTCCCGTGCCCCTCCTCTCTCCTCCTTCTCCTTCTCCCCTTCTTCGACAACGGCACATTATGGGCAATATTGTCCTCTCTTCCCGGACTCCGTTCGGGGGATGACTGGTTCTCTCCGCGTATTTGTTTGTTTGCAGTCAGGCTTGGACAAATGTGAGTTGTTTTTATTGCTTTTGACACTCCGATTGGTGTCGGTGTTTCGACATGGTGTTCCCGCTGCAGAGTGGGCCTCACGTTTGGATTGGCGTTTTGCATCCGTCGTTCCAAATGGCGCTCTCGCCCCAACGTGGGCCACTTCTCTGGATCCGAGTACTTCCTCATCGTGGTCGCCCACCTCATTCCCCCCCCCGCTTTTCCCAGGTCCTCCCGATCATCCCGCTCCTTCCACTCCAGTTTGTGCTGCTGCTGCTGCTGCTCATCCTCGTCCTTCTGCCACTCCAACCTCCTCCTCATCCTCCTCCTCCTCCTCCTCCTCTTCACTCCTCCTCCTTCTCCTCCTCGTCCTCTTCCTCTCGTCCTCCTCATCTTCTCCTCCTCCTCATCCTTGGTCCCTCCTCCGCCTCCTCCTCCTCCCTCTCCTCCTCCTCCTCCTCCTCCTCCTCCTCCTCCTCCTCCTCCTCCTCCTCCTCCTCGTCCTCGTCCTCCTCCTCCTCCTCGTCCTCTCCTCCTCCTCCTCCTCCTCCTCCTCCTCCTCCTCCTCCTCCTCCTCCTCCTCCTCCTCCTCCTCCTCCTCCTCCCCCTCCCTCCTGTGTGCGCAGCTACCCTTCTCCCGACTTCGCATGACACGGTTGGGTTGCGTTGGTGGAGTTCGAGGTCGACTACGACACGCGTCCGCGACATGGGAAGAGACGGGAGGGAGTCGGAGAGAGAGGGATGGGATGCCCGATGCGGCGCAAGGGCATCGAGCTTCCCTCCCCCCGCCGCTCTCCCCCCTCCTCCTCTCTCCTCGTCCTCGTCCTCCTCCTCCTCCTCCTCCTCGTCCTCCTCCTCCTCCTCATCTCTCCTCTTTCTTCTCTCCTGCTCACTCCTCCCACTCCTCTTCCTCGTCCTCGATCCTCTCTCCTCCTCCTCCTCCTCATTCTCCCCGTCCTCTCTCGTCTTTCTTCTCTCCTTTCCCGTCCTCCACCTCTTCTCCCTCGTTCTTGATCCCTCCGCCTTCTGCTCCTCCTCCTCCTCCTCCTCCTCCTCCTCCTCCTCCTCCTCTTCCTCCTCCTCCTTCTGGGTTTGTCGGTGGTCTCCACACGCTTTGTCGGAATTGGTATCCACGTCTGCCCAACCACGGGGCTGGGGGCCGAGGACCTTCTGGATAACCCCAGGGCTCCGCGAGAGCTCTCGCCGAACGTTCGTGGGACGTTTTGCGGAGCGTCTCGCGAGAGGTCTCGCGGGTTTCCGCGACGAGGTCTCGCCGTTCTGCAGTGGACACCCATGCCAAGAAACACGCTGCTTGCCTCCAGGGTGCCCAGGTATTCTTGGGTTCCGATGGTTTTGCGACGGAAGCCCGAACGTTCGCACACCAAAAAGCATTGGACATCCTGGGGTTCCAGGGTTAGGTTTCTTGTGGAAGGTTTGTTCTGGTCGAGCCCCTACTGCATGTTTCCCGGATGAGGTCCGAGTAGATGAGTGTCGAAGGATCGCTCCACATCGCCAGTGCATTGACGACGCGGTTCGATGTGGAGTCATAATTTCTCCACGCCAGTGGCGCCGATGCATCGCCGATGCACCGCCGATGCGGCGCGATCCCCCGACCCCATCTACTCGGACCTCGTTTAGGAGGCCCCTGCGACGGTGTCCGCCCATGTCCTGCCTCTGCGGGCCCTCGGCAGGCCCCAGGGCCGTCAAAGAACGGATAAGGACGAAAAGCCGTCCCGGGGGGGAGGGGTCTGGTTTTCGGGGGCAGCGAATCAGAAAGATCCAGACATCGGATCTCTGGGATCCTCTCCTCCACCGTTCCTCCCTCTCTCCCTCCCTCCGCGGCTCCCTGACATCGTACCCGTGTGGCCGACCATGAGGGGATGCGCATCAGCCCCGTGGGAGGGCCTCCTCCCCACGAGAAGATACTTGTCTTGTGGCTTGGACGGGCCACTGCGTAAAGCATGTCCGAGAGTTCCGCGCAGAACAGGCCCACAGGGAGGCGGATGAAGAAAGGGAGGATAAGGCATGCAGATGGAGGCGGAGAAGGATGAGTCCGGATGAAGAGGGGGGAGGAGGAGGCGGAGAAAAAATGAGCAGATTTACGAGGATCAAGTTCTTAGCCGTTGTAGCGCACGGCGGGACGCCAAGCTTCAAACGGGCAGGCTTAAACTTTGCGTCTCAAGCTTCACCCTAGCTGCTTGAACTTGATCGCTTTGGATTCCGCGTGGGAGCCTAGCATGATTTGGGGAAGTTCAGGGAGGTTTGAAGCGCTCATGACGGGAACCACCACACAAACATAGTTGTGTGTTGCATTGCATGTCTTGTTGTTGTGTTGCAGTTCTTTGCTGCATTGCAGCATTTGTTTGCATTGCAGTTTCTGTTCCGCTGTAGTGGCGCTGCTCGAGCTTGAGCTTAGGATCCCGCGTGAAAGCCAAGCGTGGTTTGGAAAGGTCTGGGGAGGATTGAAGCGCACATGTCGGGAACCACCACACGAAAACAGTTTTTTTTTTTAGTGTGTGTGTGTGTGTTGGATTCGGTGTGAGTTGCCGTTTGTGTTGCTGTGCAGTGTATGTATGCGTTGCAATTTTTGTTGTTGGCATTGCGGTTTCTGTTGCGCTGCAGTGGCGCTGCTATGGCATCAGCTTAGGATCCCGCGCAAGAGCCAAGCGTATTTCGGGGAGGTCCAGGGAGGGTCGAAGCGCACATGTCGGGAACCACCACACGAAGACGCTGTTTGCTTGTATCAGGAAGGGAAAAGCACACAGACACTATTAACCGTCGATTCCCCAGACAACATGGGACAATATGGGAAGTGGGGGGGGGAGACAAACACCCAGAACATATGGGAACATATGGGGAATTATGTTAGTTGTGTCTATTTATTTGTGTGTCCCAGGGCCCCTTCAGAATTGCAGATTTCGTTGGCACTGCAGGCGTTTTGCATTGCAGTTGGGTTGATTTGCAGTGGTTTGTTGCGCTGTGATGGCGCTGCTCGGGCTTGAGCTCGGGATCTTGCGCAAGGGCCAAGCGTGGTCTGGGGAGGTACAGAGAGGGTTGACGCGCACATGTCGGGGACCACCACACGAAGACAGTGGTCCATTGCGTTGCTGTTTGTCTGGTATTGCTGTGTGTGTGTGTTGCGTTGCAGGTGTGTTTGCATTGCAGTTGTGTTTTCCGTTGCAGTTGTTGTTGGCGTTGCAGTTGCGTTGTTTCAGGTTGAGCTCATTATCCAGAGTGAGATCATAGCGTGGCTTGGGGAGGTTACGGGAGGGTTGAAGCGCACATGTCGGGGACCACTCCACGACAACAGTTGTGTTCATTGAAGTTTTGTCTTGCACCGCAGTCTTGTTTTTGGCATTTCACTATTCGTTTGCGCTGTAGTGGCGCTGCCCGAGCTTGAGTTTAGGATCCTGCATGAGAGCCAAGCATGGATTGGGGAGGTCTAGGGAGGGCTGATGCGCACATAATGCCGGCGTCCATCACACGAAATCAGTTTGCGTTGCAGCGGAATTGGTTTATCATTGCAGCGTGTTGCAGTGCAGTTCTTGTTACGTTGCAGTTTATGTTTCGCTGTCGTGGCGCTGCTCGAGCTTGAGTCTAGGATCCCGCGTGAGAGTCAAGCATGGTTTTGGGAGGTTCAGGAAGGTTTGAAGCGCACATGTTGGGAACCACTACGCGACAATAGTTATGTGTTGCACTGCAGTTTGTTTGCATCGCAATTAGTTGTTCATTGCAGTTTCTGTTTCGCTGTAATGGCGCTGCTCGAACTTGAGCTTAGGATCCCGCGTGAGAGCCAAGCGTGATTTAGGGGGGTTAAGGGAAGGTTGAAGCGCCCACGTCGGCGACCACACGACACCATTTTTTGCTGCACTTGTAATTTGCATTGTGGTTGTTGTTGCATTGAAATTTACTTTGCATTGTAGTGGTGTTGCCAGAGCATGATCCTAGGATATCGCGTGAACGCCGAGCGTGGTTTGGGAAGGTTCAGGGATTGTTAAATCGCACATGTGGGGACCACCACACGAAACCAGCGTTTTGCATTGCAGTTGTTGTTGCACTGAAGGTTTGTTTTGGCATTTCAATGTGTAGTTGCGCTGTAGTGGCACGAAACGAGCTTGAGCTCAGGATTCCGCGCGGGAGCCAAGCTGGGCTTGGGTAGGTTCAAAGAGGGTTGAAGCACGTGTCGGGGACCACCACACAAATGAGTTATGGTATTGCAGTTGGTTTGCTTTGTAGTTTTTTGACAGCACAGGTTTTCTTGCACAACAGAGAGCTCCGAACGATTTCCAAGAGGTCCCCAACAGTATCATATCAGGAGCCTCTGGAATGGTTGTTATGCAGTATATTTGCACTGCTGACTTTTTTGCGCTGCACAGAGATCCAAGAGGTTCCCAAGAGGGTCTCAAGAGGGTTCAGAGAGGGTTCCGGGAAGGGCCCCAAACAGCATCATAATACCAGTGGTGGTGGTGGCGGTAGTGGTGGTTATCGTCGCTGCGTCCCCGCCGTCGCCGGCGCCAGCGCCGGCGCTGCTGGCCGCCGCCAGCGCTGGCGCCCGCGCCAGGGGGGGGGGGAGGGGGAGGGGGGGGGGGGGTTTGAACCCCCCCCCTCCCCCCTTGGGCTGCCTCTGGACATCGTCGCTGCGTCTCCGCCGTCGGCGCTGCTGGCGGCCGCCGGCGCTGGCGCCGGGAGGAGGGGGGGAGGTGTTTCAAACCTTCCCTCCCCTTGGGAGGGGGGGGGGGGGTCGGGAGGGGGGGGTTTGGGGAGGGAGGTGAGCCTCCCTGGTTTTGATCGACGGCGCCGAGTATTGGGGGGGGGGGCCCACCCCACGGTTCGAAACGCGCCGCCGAATGTTCCCAAGGCAAGTGCCCGTGAAACACCTTCTCTCTAACCTTAACATCGTCATCCATCGTCCCCCCTCCCTCGCTGCAGGGTCAACAGGCGGGCTGAAACAAGCGCCGCGTAGAGCTCCTGCACTAGGCAGTGCCCAGCTCTGGAGGAGCTGAGGAGGAGGGTGGGAGGCATCGGCATGGCGTGCTATATTTTCTCTGGGAAACACCCGCGGCAATTGTCGTAAATGCGATGGCCCGTCTAGGCCAGATTGTGCTTCCCACCTTGCGCAGGGTACGAAGCTGGCACTCCGAAGCCCTAAACAGCGAAGCTGCGCTCCGACCTCATCTCGCTATGGTTTCTTGTTTAAAAAGAAGGCGATCGCGAATTGTTTGAAGCTGCTGTTCAGGGCGATCCTCCTGAATGCAAGGCAGAGTGCGAGCATGCCCCACGCTCAACTTTGCCTGCCTCGCATCGCTGCGCTTCACGCTCGGGCGCGCGGTGGAGTTCACGCTCGGGCGCGCGGTGGAGTTCACGACGACGCCAATCACGGGGGATGCGGAGCAGAAGGAGGATCGTGGCCCACCTCCCTGCACGAACAGAGGCCGCTGGCCGCACTTTCGGCCACTCCGTCTCCCTCTCTCCCTCTCTTTCTCTTTCTCTCCACTGTAGCTTCAAGCTGTCTTCACTTCTTGCTTGCAAGTTGTGTTGTGCTCGCCGACCCGTTCGTTGCGATTGCGATTGCGATTCCGAGGATGATGATGAGGAGGACTGTGATGAGAGGAAGACCAGGACGGCGAGGAGAGTCCTGGGCGACCAGACGAGAGCGACGACGACGAGGGGTTCCGTCGGCCACCGCCGCCAGGAGCTGCCGGACACGCCGCCCTTCTATGCCCCCCGGGGCCTGCGCCGGCGCCCGCCGGGCGTCAGGGGAGTCCATGTGGGGACCTGCCGAGGGAAGGGGGAGAGAGAGAGGGAGGAGAAAGAGAGGGATGGAGGGGGAGTGGGAGGGAGGAGGAGAGGAGAGATCTGCAGAGGAGAGAGGAGAGGAGGAGAGAGGAGGAGGAGGAGGAGGAGGAGGAGGAGGAGGAGGAAGAGATTTCCCAAGGGAGATCCTCCATTTCTGCAAGCATCCGCCTTCCACCCATGTTGTTGCTACATGTGTTCAAACTTGTGGCCAGCAAGTTTGAGGAAAGGCGGTCGGGAGCCTCATTTTCAAACTGCGCCGTCCTGAATTCTCGTTACTGCGGCGAATTTCTGTTGTGACGAATGCGCACGTTGCCAATTAAGACGAGAGCACAATTGGAAATCCGATCGCCCTCCATCGTTGTAATTGTTGCAATCTGCGCGTTGTGGAGGCGAGGCCCCCGTTTTTTATGGAACTGCTGCCCTCTGCCATTTGAAGTGCTGCAGGATTGTGAGACAAATGTGCGCGGTGCCAAGGCGAGCGCCCCGCTTGGAAAAGGTACCACCCAGCATCCGTTTATATGCTGGAAGTGTCAAGCTTCAGGGTTCACGACTAATGAGGACGTCTGGGACAAAGCGCCCATTCCGGCCTATTGTCACGTCGGGTGGCGCGATAAGCACGAGGCAAATACCAGGAGAAGGGTTGACAGGGGGATGAAGAGCATGTTCGAAGCGTCTTCGGGTTGTCAGAAACTCCAGCCCCGGGAGGGGTCCAGTGGATTGATGTGTGAGGATATTGGTCGAGATGGGAATGGAAGAGAAGGAAGCAGAAGGCCTTGCAAGGGGACGCCAACGTTATAACGACATTGGGCCTTGCCATGCCCGTCCGTGGCGCAGGATTCAATTGGCATGTGCATGCCCAGGCTTATAAAACCACATGGGCAGGATAGCTGAGGGGCCAGTGAGCGACAATCTGGGATGAATAGGCGACTGGGAAGGGGTCGATAGATCCATGCCCCACCTGCTGAACATCGCGACGCTGGAGTTCTGAGGAGGATCGAGAGAGGCCGAGGAGGAGGAGAGGAAGGATAGAAGGAGGTGGGCGGAGGGGACTGAGAAGTCTAGAGGGGAACGTGGAGGAGGACGAGGAGGAGGGGCGCAGCGCGAGCGGGTAGCACGGCATTGAGGACGGAGGATGAGGAGGAGGAGGGAGGATGTGGATTAGGATGAGAAGAGCGGGGGAGTGCAGGGAGGAGAGGGGGGGAAGAGGAGAGGGGATGTAAGTGGAAGGGATGATTAGGGAGGGCAGAGGGGGAGGTGGCCGGATGAGGGAGGGAAATGTGAAGGATGGAGCATGGAGGATGAATTGAGTGGGAGGAGGTTGGGGAGGGAGAAGAACATGCTGAAGGGGGACTCGAGGCGGAGGAGGATGGAGCAGGAGGGCGGTGGGAGAATGGATGCGTATGGAGGGGAAGTCGTGAAGAGAGAGGAGTGTGGAAGGAGTACGGGAAGACGAGGAGGAGGAGGAGGAGGAGGAGGAGGAGGAGGGAAATGGGGGGAAAACAATGGAGGGAGGTAGTACTGGGAAGTGGTGGATGAATAATGATGTGGACGTGGGATGGGGGGATGAGGGATCAGAAAAGATCAGGGAGGGTGAGGGATGAGAGTGGTGGGGGGAGGGGAGGAGGGAAAGACAAGGAGGGAAAGAGTGGCAGGGAGAGGACATGGGAGCTGCAGACGGGGTGAACGAAACGACAGGTGAACGAAAGCGTGGTTGTTCGTTCCCTGCTTGTTTCACTCGCCCGACGGCAGCAGCGGTAGTCACCGTGTGGATCAGGCGGTGCAGGTCATGAGAGTTCACTGGCGGCCACGCCTTGTGGCCCTCGCGGACTTTGTGCTGCCCATTTGGGACATGGTGCCGCCTCGGGCAGAGGGGGGTGCAGACAGAGCGACAGCCCCGCCTCGTCCTCTGGATTCACCTTTTCAGCCGTCCCTCTCTTCCTCGTTCCCCCGTCTCTCAGGAGGGACAAAAACACACAGACACAATGAATAGTCGATTCCCAAGAAAATATGGGAAACCATGGGAATTGGGCGGGAAGATAGAAACTGAGAACATATGTGAAAATATGGGGATCATTCTTTGCGTGTCCTTGGGCCCCTTGAGTCTCCTCTCCCTGAGGGGCTCCAGCATGCTCTGGAGGGTCCCCGACTGACTCTCTGCTCTCCGTCCCACCTCGCCCTTTCCATCCTGGATCCCTTTCTTCTTCACTCCGCTCAGGAGGGACAAAAACCACAGACACAATCAATCGCCGATTCCGCAGAAAATATCGGAAAATATGTGAAGTGGGGGGGAAGACAAAATCCCAGAAAATATGTGACCATACGGGGAATCCTGTTATTTGTGTGTATGTATTTGTGTGCCCCAGGGCCCCTTCATCCACTCCCTCGCTCATCTGTCCCTCTCTCTCTCTCTTCCCTCGTCCCCCTCGGCCAGAATTCTTCGAACGCCCACCGGACATCGGCGCTGCCTGGCTGCTCGGCTTCCCGCGCCCGAGGAGCCTCTTGGGCCTCAGGATGGCCCCCGAAGGGCCCAAGAGAGCCCCGAGGGGAGGGCCAAAGACAGCCCCTAACACGACACCAGGAGTGCCCGGGAGGCGCCCAGGAGCGGCCCCGGAGGCTCTCCCTCCCCATGGCACACGGCAAGGGCAGGAAAGCCTCGGACGTCACAGCGCCTGGCTGCAGGGGAACTCGGCAGCTCCATGGGTTGCGTTGGGACGCGTTTCGACGAAGGAGGAGGAGGAGGAGGAGGAGGAGGAGGAGGAGGAGGAGGAGGAGGAGGAGGAGGAGGAGGAGGAGGAGGAGGAGGGAGGAGGGAGGAAGAGGAGGAGGAGGAGGAGGAGGAGGAGGAGGAGGAGGAGGAGGAGGAGGAGGAGGAGGAGGAGGAGAGGATGAGGGAGGAGGGAGGGAGGGAGGAGGAGGAGGGAGGAGGAAGGACGGGAAGTGGAGGAGGTAGGAGGAGGGAGGAGTAGGAGGAGGAGGAGGGAGGAGGAGGAGGCGGAGGAGGAGAAGGAGGAGGAGGAGGAGCAGGAGGGGGGGGATCGGTCTGCACCCTCTCTTGCGGGTGCTCGATTTGCCGGTCGGGGGAATCCATACAATGGCGTGGCGTCGGGGCATTGGCCTCCAGCAGCGTAGTTGAAAGTTGCCTGGCGAACACCATCGCTGGCTCGATCTCTGCTGGGGGCAGGGGCAGCGATGGGACGGGCAAGGACGGAGGATGCCCCTGATCGCCAGAAGCGCTCGCGTTCTGACCAACGAGCCCTGAGTCAGACGAGGCCAGCCCTCTTGGGCTGGCGGGCTCGATGGATCCCGCTCCAGAGAGTGCGTGGCGGAGGCACGACTCCCGCATAGTGTTAAGTCAGGCATATCCCTCTACAGCAGGAATATCCGAGAATGGTGAAAACATGGTGGTATGGTGACGATGTTTCGTTCTCTTTCGACTATGGTTGACTATTATTTGACTGTTTTTGAAATGGTTCCTCCAAAATCCGCCTGTAAGAGGACATGCCCGACCTGAGCATAGTGCGATCTTGCCAAAAAGGACTAGTCGCCGGAACACAATGATTTGACTCAATTTGGGTTCGCGTCCTCGGCGCCGTATTTCTGCATTCACCCATAAGATCATCGAGTGCATCATTTCGCATGCAACGCGACGAGCTCGTCTTGGCCTGTTTTGTGTGTTTCGATATTGTTTGTGGGATGGCGGACCATACAAGCGCGGAACAACATGAATTTGCGCGTGCGGGAGATCACCCAAGATCACGGTAGTGCGACCGGAGTTATCTACAAGGAGAGGAGTTCAAAGGGTACAGACAACCAACGTTTCTTTGAAGAATCGGACAGGGCCACCCAGCGGAAGTCTCTTGAGGGCAGAATTCCCTGCCCGCTTCCTTTTATCCTTGCGCTGCTCTCTGCTGCGATGTTTGCGCTCCTCTCCTCCTCTGCCGCCCAGCAGCTCGACCTCCCCCCGTGTTGTGGCTCCCTCCGCTCGAGAGACCTTTTCGTTATACACACACACACACGGCTCAAATCCGCCACTCCGCTCCCTGCGGGCCGCTCCTCTCTTCCCGTTTTACTCGGCAGCCGGCTCCCTTCGCTTGCGGACCTTGCTGCGGCACGCTGCCCTGAAGGCTGTCCGGCCGGCGCCGCCGACCCTGAACGACGAAGACGACGACGACGACGACGACGACGAAGGGGCGGCGTTCTGGCCCAGGACCCCCTCCCCTCCTCACCTCCACCCCCAACCCACCTCCGTTGGACCCACCACCACCCCCATGGGCGGGGAGGGGATCACAGGGAAGGGGGCTTTCATTCGTCGACTGAGCTGCGGCGTTCCTCGATTTCCCTGGTGCTGGCGATGGACATGGAAGGCCCAGGGAAATGAGACGGAGCGGCGATGGCAACGTCGGTGCCGACGACGCGTGCGGTTACTACTGTTGCACGTTGCGCTCACATTGGGTTGTCATTGTGGCGTTACGGCTACTGGTTGCCGAAGCTTGGGTAACCAACAAGGAGGAGACGGGAGACGAGGATGAGGAGGAGGGGATCAGGGATGCAAGCGCAAAGTGTACGACTGGAGAGCGTCGCGGGAGGTGGTTAGCAACCGTGTGCGCCTGTTCGGCTCGTACGACCACCAAGAGCTGGACATCCTTCTGAGACTAACGTCCACGGCGCCTGACCAAAATGCGTTTCCCTTTCTCCTCACCTTGCCTGGCATTCCGCTCCCTCGTCTTTTCCCTCCTTCTTCCTGATCTTCATTCCATAGTCGTCATCATGTTTTGTTGTCCCCTCCTTCCTCCGCCTTGCCCTTCCCCATCACCCCTCCTCCTGCAGTGGTAGTACCTTCTCCTTGCAGTGGTAGTGCCGAAACGCGCCCAGAGTCCAGAAAGGCATGACGGTGCACACCCGACCTGTCTGGCTGATGTTCTGGGGGGGCATGTGCTTAGGGGAGGCTGTAGCAGTGCTGAACGATGTGCTGCCAACCAGATGTGCAAGGTGGGCCCTTTCTATTTTTCTGTGCACCTCAGCTTCGGCTTCGGTGTCAGCTGTTGGTACGCTGTGAAACGCCTTGAGGCCAACTCACCCGCGTGGGTTTTCCGCTCACTTGGATGCCCCTCTCTCTTGGTTTGTTTCCAGCCTCCTCGGTGTTGTCTGTCCCATTGGCCGCCCTTCTTCCTCATCCCGATGGGGGCAGCGGCACTATCAGTGACGCTTAGCGGAGGTGCTCCGTACGCTCTTTGCGAAAGCTATTCTTATTCTCGGGAGTGCCCAAGAGGGGAGGAATGATTATGGGGCCAGTGTGTGTGTGTGCGTGTGGGTGCCATGGTTGGTGCCGCGAAGACTTTCAGATGTTACGAGCATGGCGCCTCCATCTTGCCTCAAGACGTTCCCTTTACCCCCTCTTCCGCGCACGTGTCTCGGGCCATGATGCGCTCCCCCCCCCTCTTCCAGACTCCCACCCCCCGTCTTTGGCGCACCCCGCAAGCACCGTCAAGATTGTTCGTCGATCGGCGTCACCCCGACATACTCCAACTATATGTGCGTTGCCCCGCTGGGGGCGATGCGCGCACCGAGAAATCTCATAGAATATGCGTCGTGGCGGGCGCTTTCTGGCCACACCGCTCTGGAAACGATGTACTACAAGATGGGTATACTATGTGTTTGAATCGGACGCGCACCTCCAAGGAGAACATGTAGTACTAGTATGTTTTTGTGCGCCCCAATCGAGGTTGCTCCTCCCTATCGCATCCCTGCTCCCCCCCCGCGGGGGGGGGGGCAGCGACCGTGCCCAGGTCCCCCGGCGACACCTTCGTGGACATCGGCGCGAACGTGGGTGCGGTGACGGTGCCGCTGGCCGCGCACGTCGGCCAGGACCTCGTGAGCCCGGGGGCGCGCAAGCATGGATCAGGGATCCATGGATTTGGCGCGCCGTCGCCAAATCCATGGATCGGGGGAGGTGCCTTCCATAAAATGCGGCCGGTGCCGCCTCGCTCGGCGGCGACAATCCGCGATTTCCGATTGAGACGGGACCCGTCGCTAGTCCATGCCCCCTTGATCCATGTTTGCGATCGCCTGAGGAGCAGAGGAGGCAGGACACACAGGAGCAAAGTAGGGCACCGGCTACAGGATTGACCTGCCCCAGAATTGTGTTTCCCGCCGAGTCTATGAAATAATGCGAAGAATGCCCCGTAGATCTACGAGCACTACACGCGCTTCTTGCACATCCGGCGGGAATATCCACTCTGGAGTAAATCCCCTCTGTAGTCGATGCCCTAGTCGGAGGACCGTCCCCACCTCCTCGCGTCGTGAGAAGAAGCACGACGGGAAGGCTTCTGGCAGTGCTCGGCCTCCTGGGGGCCCTCGAGGCAGTGTGCGTGGGCGGGGGGGGGCATGGCCTCCTCGCGTCATGCTTCTCCTCCTCTTCCTCCTCCTCCTCGGAAAGTTTGGAACCTGTTTCGGCCTGTTCATCTTTTTGCTGTTTTTGGGTGAGGAGGGCCTCCCGTCGCTTCGGATGCAACTGCTGGGAGATTCCACTTAGCATCGGCGGCGCGCGTCCGTGGTCGAGAACCAACCTGACCTCGCCCACTTCCGCTCACTTCTGCTCATCCCGTCGCATACGGATGAATCGATTTTAAGATTGGGCGCAACTTGGGCCAATCCGCCCGAGCCGTTCCAACGCAGACTTGCCAGGAGTTCCCTTCTACACCGAGGCCTCCAGGTACTTTCTCCTCCTCCTCCTCCTGGTTCCTGGTTCCTGAGGGCTGGATAGTCGTACGGACGAAGCCCCCCCCTCCTCCTCCTCCTCCTCCTCCTCCTCCTCCTCCTCCTCCTCCTCCTCCTCCTCATCATCATCATCATCATCATCATCATCATCATCATCAGCATCATCATCATCATCATCATCTTCATCCTCATCCTCATCCTCATGCTCCTCATCCTCATCCTTATCCTCATCCTCATCCTCCTCATCCTCATCCTCCTTCTCTCTTCCTTCTCCTCCTCCTCCTCCTCCTCCTCCTCCTCCTCCTCCTCCTCGTCCTCCTTCTCCTCCTCCTCGTCCTCCTTCTCCCTCTCCTCCCCCTTCTCCTCTCTGGGGCGCTCGTCGTGCCTTTTTGGGGGGCTGCTCCTCGCCACGGCTGGCTTCGACCGGGCATTCTGGTCAGGACGTGCCCCCGCACGTGTCTGGGGATCGGCTTCTGAGGCCTCGTCTGGGCGCCAAAAGAAAAAAAAGGTACGTCGCAAACCAGGGCTTCCAAAATTCCACCCGGAGAACGCGAGGTCTGGAGAACGATTCGAAGACGCACAGTCGGCATAAGCATAAATTCTTGGAGCTCCGCGCGGCACGTGTCTGTGCCCGTGCCCTCCCCCGTTCCTCCGAGGCTCCGGCCCACGGCTGCAGCCTCCGCTCGAGGGCGCCGGCGCCGTGGACTGCCAGGGCTCCCAGCCTATTCACGGGGGCCTGGCCCAGGGTTTCCACCTCCTCTTCATCCTCGCCCTCCTCCTCCTCCCCCTCCTCCTCCAAATCCCCTTCCTCCTCCTCCTCCTCCTCCTCCTCCTCCTCTCCTCCTCCTCCTCCTCCTCCCTCCCCCTCCCCTCCCCCTCCCCTCCTCCTCCTCCTCCCTCCTCCTCCTCCTCCTCCTCCTCCTCCTCCTCCTCCTCCTCCTCCTCCTCCTCTTGCCCCTCGGCACCGCAGCCAGAACACAGAGGCAGGGCCGTTTTTTCACCGTTTCCGAAAAAAACGTCTTTTGAAAATGAGAACGGCAAAAAAAAAAACGGCGACTGGAACCGGCAACAGAAACGGCTCCAGGACTGGAACCGGAGCGGGAACCCGTAAAAGAACGGCGACGGAACCGGTAACAAAAGCGGCGTCGGAACCGGCAACAAAAACACCAAAATGGAACCAGTGACAAAAACGGCCCTGTCGTTTCCAGGGCCCACTGAGGCCTGACCCAGGGTTTCCTGACCTCTCGGCGTCGCAGCCAAAACAACGAGGCGGCGGGGCGGTGCGGGTTCTGCCTCGGCGCTCCCCAGGGCGCCGCCCTGGCCGGCCCCTGGGCGCCCGAAGAGTCGGAGGAGAACGAGCGCCATAAGCATCATTTTTGTTGAGCTCCGCGGGGTTTGCTTAGGTCCGCGCTGGGCCCCCTCGGGCGGCGCCTCCTGCGCCGCCCCTGGCGCGCTCCGCGCGCCAGGGAGGCGCCAGGGAGGGGGGCCCAGCGCAGGTCCGAGATATCTGCGCGGAGCGCCAAGTGTATGTTTGTGCCGTTTGTTTTTTTTGTCTGCGAAGAGTGCTCGCGGCGACAGGTCGGACCTGGAGGGGGAGTCGATGGCGGATGTCATGCAGGGGCGGTCGTGCATCATCGAGCGCGTCCCCTTGCTCGCAAAGTGCCTACTCGCAAGCGTTCGAACAAAACAACATGCTCGCCTCGCTGCAGCAGATCGTGGATCCCCCGCGTCGGACCCAGGCGATTTGGTAGGTGTTATGCTGCGAGCGGTGGAGCGCGCTTGTCTAGTGCAGGGGGGTGCGAGGAGGAGTGAGATGAGGAGATGAAGGATGAGGACGAGGATCAGGAAGAAGAGGAGGAAGAGGAGGAAGAGGAGGAAGAGGAGGAAGAGGAAGAGGATGAGAAAGGGGAGGATGACCAGGAGGATCAGGAGGAGTGGGATGACAAGGAACAGGAGGAGCGGGAGGAAGAGAGAAGGGGGATGAGGACGAGGAGGTTGACGAGGAGGATGACGAGGAGGATGACGAGGAAGGGGAGGAGGAGGAGGAGGAGGAGGAGGAGGAGGAGGAGGAGTTGGAGTTGGAGTTGGAGTCCCTGGACGTAGTCCTTCCACTCATCACCTACACCCCTTCTGGGCTTTACGAGCTAATTCCGCTTTACTGTAGACTTTGGGCCATTGCCCCAACTTAATCAAACGAAGGTATTCACAGGCCCCTCGTCGCGGTGGGGCGGGGGACACAGGCCTTCCCGAGGCCGCAAAGCTGCTGGTCCCCATACATCCCACAACTCGCACAAAACCAAAGCATTAAATCAGCGTGAACCCAGCAATGTGAATGGTGGCCCCCTCAGGAAGTGCACGAAGGGAGCAATCAAGAGCAACTAACCTGAAACACGGAGACTTACGCCAGACCGAAACGCGCGCAACAGACGCGGACCCGCGGTACCGCAGACAACGCCGCCCACACTCAGACAGGGCATGGCTCGTCTCAAAAGCCGATAGAATATTCTGACACGGAGGCGGGGGAGGGGGCGGAGGGTCGGCAGCAGCAGCAACAGTAGGCTCACCTATCACCACGGCTTCCCTCCGTCCCCGAGCTCCTCGCCTCTGGTGCCGCCCGTTCGGCGGGTTCTCCTGCAGCGTCTTCTCGGCCTCCATGGCGTCGAGGTGCGACCTGAGAATCCTCATGCGGATAAGGTACAGCACCCTCTCCTTTTCCAGAATATCAGTGCGGACGGCTTCAGGTATGCGGGCTATGATCGCACCTTCACCTGCCAAAGTGTCCGCTGCTGCGTTGCCAACCGTCATCCATGAAGAGCCCGCTCGATGCACGACGTCCTCGGCCTCCATGTGCGAGTTCGTAAACAATACTGTCACATGCTCAGGCCGCCGTCCCGTGTTATGAAACAACAGCCCAATCTTCGCCCACAACTCTGCGTGCTCTCCAGTTGGATGACGATATTTCTGAGACCACCAACCTTCATGCACCATCTGGTTGTCCGTCACATACGTTACATATTGTTCCGTCAGCCGCAAGGCTACCCAGAAGATATACAGCTCACCTCTGGGCGCCGTCTGGACAACTCCTGGGAGGGCTCCAAATAGGGATACTTGCAGCTGGAGGTCCGTTTCGCTTTCCATCTGCGCGAGACCGAGACCGATGCGTCTGAACCTCCCATCCGATGAATCCGCCCCGCCGCTGGCATCGCCAAAAAGCAGCAGTGGCCTGGCACACTCACCTGGCCCTAGGACTCCATCAGCAACACCATCGTTGAGCCCCGTCTGGAACCAAGCCTCCTCATCAGGCGGCTCAGGTACCACGGTCCACTGTGCTGGCATGGCTCCACGGAGCCAGTACGCTGGAGCAGACTCGTGTTGAGAGACAGCTTGCATATATACCTCGTCCGACTTGGTGTAGATAGGGTGATTGACGTTGTGCTCGCATTCCCATATTCGATGAAAAGCTGACTCATTGCGTCTTTTGCAGCGAGGACACAGCGCACAAACTTGGACCTTGATGGAGGCCTCAGCTCGACGGAGCCTCGGCCACGACCCTCCAGCAACTACCGCCGATAACAACTCAGAGAGCCTGCGCCCGCGTGGAAGCTGCTCCAGGTGCTTCAGCAGCCGCTGCAGAGATACAACATCCATGCCTTGCCCAAGACCTTCCCCGCAAAAATGCTTCTCAGCGGAGGCCCACACGAGCCTCTCCGACGATCTATTAAAATCCAGGAAAAATAACTTGGTGTCGTTTAAAGCCGAGATGTCCGAATACCCTGCTTCAGGAAACCTCCACTCCGTTCCGTCAGCCATGATCCAGCACACTGGTGATACTGGGTCCCATCCCCGTTCAAGAAGAGTCAAAATCGCCGTGGACATCGGTCCCCTCACCCACCTAGAGCGCTGATGTGGAGGCAAGCTTTTGAAATGCCCGACAACCCGCGCCCACGCCTTGTGCGCGCGCCCTCGGATCTCTGGACGAGCGAACCACTGCCGAAGCCAAAGGTGCAAGGATTGCTGAGGGTACCTGATTCCAGGATCAAGCCCAGGCGCTTTAATGGCAAACGTCGACACCAGACACCGACCGCGGCCCCCAGACGAAACAGCGGCAGCCAGACTCCTACGAAAGGATACAAGACGTTGGCCGAAGG